TAACATCCACGGACTTTCACGAATTCTGGACCAACAATGGGCCCCAAATTGTCATCCAAAAACAGAGATATTCTTTCAGAATTAACATTTCACTGGACTTCTGTTTAAGTTTTGAACATGGTAAACCAAACAGCCCCAAAAACATGGTTGATATACCAGAGTAGGGGGCGAAATAACTGTACATTATACATACCGAGACATGCTGGCTGAAAGAGTTCACCGGGTTTTTTTTTCCAGACATAGAATTTCCTGTCCCCGAATGAAACAACTTTTATTTCATGACTGAAAATAACTCATGACTAGCTTTGTTCAACTGTTCAGGCCAATTTCGGAAAATCGAAAACGGAGATTAATTTTGGAAATTGTAATTTTCTAGGAAACACAGGATTGCTGGAATCATTGCTTCTTTAACCTTCGTCGAAATGTCGTCCTGGAAACTTGCTGAGTTACAGATTTATTAAAACTGCTGGTTAAATCTGACAAAGTCTATTGCCGATTTTTCTTAACCAATCTTTCCAATACACGATCTCCCTTTTACTCACAAATCTTCTCCTCTCCGACCTTTAGAATCTGTTCTCTACTGAAACTCTTTCATAATTCCTTTTTCAACACGTTCTGTACAGTATTTGGGTTATTGTGCATGTTTAACATACATTTGTGCATGCTACTAGTCTTAACCTGGAATTTTTTTATGTGTGAAATGTGGTTATGATAAGTCCATCAAATGGTGGTTTACAATTCTTTCAAATAACCTTTTCCAATATTCAATTGATCTGCCATTGTAGTCTCTCAATCTAAAACTAACTGGAGTGTTGCGAGCGAGCTAACAAAATAATTATACTTATCAGCAACTTTTCTAATACATGTATCATAATATCCAATATTTCTATGAAAAGGTAACAATTTTATTTTCCTCCCATTGACCTTAAACTTGCCCAAAAGACCTGGAGTAATGGTCATGATACAATTAAGATCACAAGTTATCTTCTTGTGAAGTATTTTTTATTAATATATAAATTTCGTATAAGAGACTGTATGCAGAAACTTTCTTAAAAGGACTTTGTATAAATAAAGTACTGTTTTTCTGCTTAGCATATTGGAGTTTTACTTAGCATACTGCTTAGCGTGTTGCATAAAATTTCTCAACTCTTAGTATATGCTCAGTATATGCTTAAAGTTAAGCATGGTCTTTACCTTTCTTAAGCATATTGCTTAAGTTGTTATAGAGAGGTGTAGAAAATAATTAAAGGAATTTTACAAAGAATGAAACAAAAAAAAATATATAAAAGTAATTAAACCAATGAAATAAATTACAATCTGGATGTTTATACTTTATTATTTGGCATTTTATATTTTACAAGATGCTAGCGATTTATTATCAAAACGGTTTAAAAAGAGACATCGTTTGATTTTTGTGGTGTTTGTTACGTCGTCACCTGTGACAATGAAGTGTAGGCGGAAAAGCCCTTTTCGAGTTCTCCAGTGCAATGAACTTCTAAATGGATCTGGTTCACAGGCACTTGTTTCTGAAATACTTTTTTAACGCATAGTATACAGCTTACGCACTTTTTAAGCTCACATGGTTTTTTCGCACAAATTAAGGTCACATTCTTTTTGCAATAAAATAAACATTATCGACCTTTAAAACGAGACATAGCCCTAATATGTATTTAAAATCTCATGTCAAAGGTACATTTTCTTTAAACTCATAATCTTAAAGTTTTAAAGTCGATGTTTTAAATTGGACCTCATGTATAAATGAGACTTTCAAATAGGTATTTACATATTAAACTTATCCAGCTTTCTTTGAAATTATTTATTTGAAATTTTCACATTGACATCTTAAAGATGAGTATTTTTCGAAGTACTTTGCAAATTTTCCATACTCGTCGTGGTTTTGTCGAAATGTATATATAAAAACTAGAGCAAAGCTCGTTGCAAAGCAACGAAAAAAAACATAGGTCTTTCGAAAAGCTCTTTTGACCGGAAGTGAAAGTCAACAAAAGAAAGCAATGAGCTTAATTCTCCAGTCACTTTATAATTTCAATTTTGCATCAAAACTTCAAAAAATAAACTATTTTTGAATACTTCCGGTTTGACCGGAAGTGATGTCACATTTGGACGGAAAATGAAGTTTTATGCTTCCAGTGACATATGTTACCCAAAAACCTGTCAAGAACGGCAAAAATACCCGTTTACCGAATACTTCCGGTTTGACCGGAAGTGACGTATTTTGACGACTTCAATAGATTAAGCTTGACATTTTGAACAACTTTGCTTCTTGGATGTATTACAAATTCTCAATACTTTTTGAGATATCTGGAAAAAACTTTTGGCCCCTCTAGATCCCTTAATTTAGGGGTCAGTCCTTTTTTCGAGATATCATTTGAAAGATCTTGTAATTCTGCACAAATTTTGTTCTATATATTTTAACAAAATAGTTTTAGTTTAGAAGATAAAAAGCAAAATATGTGTAAATTTTCGCTCTTTTAGGCGTTCTAATTTTTGACCCCTATAGCACCATTTTGAATAGAGAAATCGAAAAACAAAAACCGCCATGCACAACTTCAATCCTTGTATTATCTAAAATCAATAAAATTTCTGCTCCAGCTTTAGCCGTCTCTGAGCATTTGTCTGGAAACGAAAGCCTATAAATTTTTGTTTAAAGGGAAATAACTCAAAACCGGAAGTGACTTTTTGAAATTTTAGATAACATTCTGATAGAGTTTAGTAACGTCTATAAACTCTGAAAATTTGAGCAAAATCCATTGAGAAATGAGTGAAATATGAGGATAAATATAGGAAAAGGAAAAAAAAAAGAATAATAAGAATAATCTTAATCATCAGAATCAGTAGAAGGTCTTCCGTTGGAAACGGAAGACCTTAAAAAAGTCAAACTCCTCTGTGAAAATTAAACAAATAATAAATGTTTCATTATATGTCAATGGCATTGTCCGTTACATAACGAGAAACAGAAAAAGGATTTAGAAGGGAATCACTGATCAAAAGTCCCCAGGTTCTGCAAAAACAAAGTCAACTAAAGTATGACAAATTGGAAGAGGAGACGTAAAAATCGATATTTGTCTTCCTGGCTAAATTGAACAGGAAGTATCTAGTGTTATGCTGTTGATTCAATAATGAGTTGTCATAATTAAATTGGTTTAATAGATGTACCGAGAAATTGGACAATCTTTCTTGAACTATAAATAAGAGATACAAATTCATGTACTAATAATATTGTTTGTTTTCTGATCCTTAAAAATTATTTAATAGTATTTAAAGGGGCTTCGATTGGATTTGAGGTTAGTATTTTCTTAAATTTTCAATATTTTCAAAACTTTTATTTCACACCAATATATTAAAAAGTGCGGTTAGGATCTTCTTGAATAACACTTAACGAATTTTGAGATGATTAACACACACTTTTTTTTTACTTAATTCACAAGGTAAGTTGATCATTAATATTTAAGAAAAGTGACAAATGGTTCTGTATCAATTGAAAATATTAAAACTCTTAATTCAGAGGAGACAAGTGAGAAACCCAAACCAACTCATCAACTTTCGATCCTTGTCTAGTGAGCTGTGCAGAGTAAACAAATTAACACACCCCATTAACAATAACAATGTGCGTGCCCATGTTTACAGATACACACTTTATGTTTAACGTGACATTCTAGAGAATGTCGTTGTAATTTAAATTAAACGGATTTCATGCAAAGCTCAAAAAATCAAACTTAAATATTTGTACATTTAAGGCTAGTTAACTATATACAGTTTATATCTTACAGTTGATAGTTATTGTGCCATGATCCCAGGGTTAATATACTCGGAACCTCATAATTATTAAGATACAAATACACATATATTTTTTTTTACAATCATTTATGACTCTAGAATATAATGTATACATTTTTTACTCAACTCATTGATAACTTTTGTTATGCTTGACCGTAGACAAATGAAGAAATGTAAAGACGAAGAAAGCAAACAGTGATAAATTCAGTATAAACAACAAATCGTTACAAGGTTCAACAAAACATGGATCCTAGAAAGGAAGGAGATGGAATCAGGTGCCAAGAAGTAGTGAGTATCCAGTGAGGAGTGGTTATAACCGCTGTGAGCATATGTAATGATTAGGTAAACAGAGTACTTCGTAACCAAATACAATATTAAAACTAGAGGTACTGTGAGCAATGAGCTCACTAAATGATACCCCCCGCCTCCCATAATGTCCATGTGTTGCTATCTATTGTTTTACGGTAATGTGTAAAGAGGAGTAACTCGTCCTATCAAATGTTATCCAGAAGCTTCTATATGTGACGTCATAGGTAAACATATAATGGCAATGTCCAATGGCAATGTCCATGTTTTGCTATGGGAAACCTAAAATACGTGTCGGATCAAAAAGTAAAATAGGTGCACAATGGCAATATGTAATAAAGATTCTGAGAATGTTTCATTAAATTTCACTCAGTAATATAAGAGGAGTTGCGGATAAGAGATAAAGCGTAACAGACGGATGGACGTACGGACGGACGGAAATCCCGATTACTATATACCCTCCCACTTTTCAAGCGGGGGTATAATAATGACGAAATAAATTGTCTGAAACATGTCATAGACTCAATGATAGGACGTACTTACAAGCACATTAAAACACGCATATTTTGTTGAAAGATTTCTATCATTATGTATGAAGCTCCCAATACAAGGGTTATTCGAAATATGCAAATACCTTTTCAAAACTGGTTTTGTCCAAATCTAGTAGAAATATTTAATTTACAAATGGTAGAGACACTTTTGTTAAATAAAGTGATAAGTTGGCATACACTTTTTGTCATATGAAGTTTTTTTTTTTTTTTAACTGTCATGACGTTATGTATTTGAAGCTTCATCGACAAAAGTGCTGAAGGAAAAAATGTTAAAATAATGTAACAAAAGTTCCATTTGATGAAGTATTGATTTTTATTTTTCTTTAAAAAAAAGTCTGAAGAAGAAGAATTTCTAGGTACGTCTTTTTAATGACCCTCGTATTTTATAAATAAACACTATATACATGTATTTACAAAAGAAAATCAATTTCGATTCAAATAAAATGTCTAAATTTAAATTAATCAATACAACACTTGTTTTGCACTTGTTATATAAAATTTTTCATTATTTTTTTCTTTAACCCCTTCCCCGCAGTCACGTATTTTAACGCATATACCATTTCCTATTTCTAACGCAAAATCACGCATATATATACCGTTTCCCCGTAATCACGCATTTTCACGCACTTTAAAAAGTTCATTTAATTTTTAATTTAATGCCAATTTCCTTTTATTTTATACCCGCTACAAACCTCATAAAATAAGAAAAGTTGTTTTCTTATTAAAATATTACGGCATAATATTATTTAAGCTCAACTTTAGAGAAACTTGTACCATGCTTAAAATGCTTGCGGGGAAATAGTAACGTCATATTTCTATGACGTGAAGATTAAGTGTATGTTGCATAACAGTTCAGTAAGTTGTGAAAAGTTAAAAACTTTTTAAAATGAATCAAAATCAAATAATGATCGATAGATAAATATTAGAATTTCAAAATTGTACTCACTAGGAAAAGTGCTTTTCCTCGTTATTTTAAAGATGACTTCAAAATGTGAATACATATCATCATGATAAATATATTACTTTCTTAAAACAAAAACCATCTGCCCTCTCGTGTAAAATATTCTTAGTTTGACGAATTCTTCAAACTTTCACAGGCATTGGCTTTGAAATTTACACTGATTTCCGGTTAAAGTTTGTTGTTCAGGTACAATCAAGTATCCTCACTTTTAAAATATAACACGTGAGACAATGTGAACTTCTTGAAAATATATAAATGCTATGAAGAACAATAATTTAAACAAAAAGGCTTCAAGAAAAGTTATCATTATGTTGAAATATATATTTTTCATCAAAAATAGATTTCAGCAACGAATATATATACATATCACATTTTGGATCTTCAAAGCATTGGACGTAGCACATATTAGTCTGTAGTGAACACCAGCCTTTTCTTTCTTCCTTTGATTATATTCTTGTCGTCGTCCCCAATCCTTAGTAATTGCTTGGTGAGTTCCAATGGCGAGTAATCTTGCTTCTTTGTGTGGTAATTGTGGCCGGAACTTGGGTACCCCGGATGTTGAGGACCACTCAAATAAATCGTGTCGTCTACCTCCTTGTAGGGCGGAGGGGGAGTTTTACCAGTGTGTGTCCGCGTGACCTTATGTGAACGATTGTTTTCTTTGAGCGGAGCTTCTTCTGTTTTCTTCTGCTCTGTTTCAGATTCATCTAGAATTTGCCATGGTAACGGGGTTGTTTCGCGTTTTTGTTCGTTTGTTTGATTGACCTCCGGGTGAATGCTCGCCAGAGATCTCGGTCGGCTTCCCACCAGACGCTCAGTAACTATGCTGCTTCTGCGGTTTTCTTTGATTAAAGCTTTTTTGTCTTTCTTTCTCTTCGTCTTTTTGCAATACTGCATGCACTTGTGAATACAGAATATTAGACTACATCCACCGTATACTATGACAATCAATGGCAGGACCAGGTACATCGCCATGTTGTTATTGTCGGAATAGAATTCCTCTATTTTACCCCAGAGTGATTTTTCTGCAGCCACAATGGTAAAATTTGTTGTCTGGTTATCCATGTTAGGTTACTTATCTAAAAAAAAAAAGATTAAACAAATTGTCATTGATGTAAACAAAATAGTTGAGATCAAACGAACGATTGATATATTGCTTAAATATCCCCGAAACACAATTTATGATCTGTCACAATGCAAAACAAATTTATGTTTAGATTTGTGATTCTGTAAATATCCTAGATTACTTCCATGCAGGAAAATGTACATCTACAGGTCAATTGTATTAAGAAGTTTTGAGAAAAGGGAAAAAGTCAATAATTTGATTGATCTTCCATTTCTTTTTATCAGTCCTCTTAAACATACTACTTATCTTTAGTTTCCCCTTTACAGTTTCAAAACATAAAGGGGCTATTTATTTTTTTTTTTTATGAAGTATCATGACTTTTACGTTGCTGAAGCATTTGGTACTGATACATGATACATTATAAATGCTTAGCCTGAAACTTATGAAATCTTTAATTTGACAAGCCTTTGATTGACACACATCCTTACACTTTATCAAAGTAATAATTAATCCTTAAATATTAAAGAATAATCTAGAAAAAATAAGGTTAACGATTGGAAAACAAAACGAACATAACAATGCTGTCAATTAGTGTTGAACAAGTCATGCGTAAAGAGTTAACGAATTAAACACTCCCGGTAAAACGTAATAAAAAAGCTTAACATAATGAAATGAGTTTTTGTCAAATTTTTTTTGGATGGAATTTTCAGGTAAGTTCAATTTATTAAATTATTTCTTAATAAAAATTTGAAATTGTAAACAAAACGACAATATGCAAATTCTAATATATTTTCCCTAATAATTATCTCCCATTATGCATATTGATGAGCTTTAAAGGGAACCGTATACCCTGGTGTCTTATTTGGTTGTATTTCATGCATTGATTTTTTTTTGGTGAAATTTTAAGTACCTGAAAAATACATAACAATCAATACTTCAATAATCACAAAATAAGAGAGAGATAAAAAAAAAAGGAACGAGCATGAAAAACTAAGTCAATCCACCCTTTAAAATTGACACTCTTGATCGATAAGTTGGTATTAAATTGCGGATGTATGCAAGGATTTAACCGGGAAATCAAAAAAGTTATCAATGAAATATAATTCATTTGCTGAAGCCAAAAGCTTTTCGACATTGAAATATTTGGCTATGTGTTACCCAATTATAAATAATTTAGTTTCATCAAAATTTCATGGCTGCAAAATGAAACAGAATATCATCTTATCAGCACTCATGCAAATTACTTTTTAGAATTGAGAATATATTGAATTTATGGGGTTTTTTTTTCGATATTGTACATGTAGGTATGCGAAGTTCTCATAAATTCATTCAAATCCGTTAAACTTTAATTCTTATTGGGTTAAACATTTCTTTAAAAAATATATTTCTAATAAATAACAAATGAATACCATTATCAAAAATGTGTTGCACTTTTTCAGAAGGCAATCAAGATGTATCGGATAATATGGAAAAGTCTTATAACAGGTATTCAGATGCACAGGAGGAGTAAGCATCCCCTAAATTCACAATCGCCATGAGCTCCCTGTATATTTCGGATAAACGCACTTATCCTTAGTCAAATTGGTATAGAAAACAATGACCTAAAAGTTGATGGAAAACCTGTTAGTCAAAAAACAACATGTTGCTTTGCAATCAAGTTTATTATAACCAAAACAAAATTTGCGAAATGTTGACTTTAAACAAGATGGTTGTAAAACAGGTTTACCAAGCTTATTTGTCAGTAGACTGCCTCGCTAGGAAAATAAAACATACTCAGGCAATACTTTTGCGTACCTCATCGGTCAGAAGACATAATCACGTTATGCATTATTGTGGAATACTACGATTAAAAAAGGGGTAGACGTTGCAACAGCCTTAGCCAGCTATTCTATAGTATAGTTTACTAGTAAATGTTAGTTAGTCGATTATCTATTTAGTCAGAAAAAAAAATGAGTTCATACATATTCTACGCAAAATGTTAGTTTCATTAAAATAGAGAAATTAATATTTAAATTGATTTAATTTATATTATGATATTTACATCCACTAAATATCTTTTTTATTCCTTAAAAGTAAAAACAATGCCGTTTTTTATAAGTCACTTATGACCCCTTTCATTCATTTTCTATTCCATCGATTAAACATACAATTGCATTTATATACATTAATACAATATTCGATTTTCTTAATCCTACTTCTTACTGATTAGTTGTACAGATATAAATAAAAACAATAAAATCTCTTTCTTTGTTTGTTAGTGCGGAAATTACGTTGCAGCTAAAGCAGAAAAAACTACATAACCGCTTATGTGGGTTATATATTTTTTCTTCAACAATTGCTGCAATATTATTCACCGAACTTACAACAAAAGAATTTTATTGTTTAATTGTTTGAAACAAATGCAATTACGTATATAATATATCACACTGGAATGATAATGAGACTACAGTAACCGTATCTCATTTTATCTTTTTTATTTAAACTGTTTTATTTGTTTAGGATGTGAATCAGTCAATTTATTCTTGAAGATTAAACAATAATTTTCTTGAACAGAGAAGAAAAAAGACAAAAAAAAAGGCTACAGCTAACGGCGTAACTGTAAAATATTTTCCTTTCAAACCATTTCCATTTCTTCGTTAAATTGTACGTGTCTGAAATTATCATCTTTTGGTAATCAGTCTTTTTGAGACACATAGAATGTAAAAAGATTTTTTATCCCTGGAATTAATATTGTTCAAACTTAAAAGACTTTAAACCTTACCTTTCTATCTATAAATAATTGCTAATTATTAGTCAAACAATCGATATAATAGTTAACCTGTTATTTAACCAGTCACCAAACTTAAAAAAAAAACATTACCAGAAACCTGCATCTTCTACTTTATTTATCAGATACATTTACTAATACTTTTAATAACGGAATACCAATGAGGTCTATTTTTAAAAAAAATCATTCAGAAAAGATATTTTCATCATAGTAAGAAACATGATATAAAACATAATATGAAACATGTGAGTATTCTTAAAATAGTTGCAAATTGTTTATGTTATACAACTAAAAACATACCACAGATAAAAATACTTACCCGAAAAATTAACAATACTTTGCACAGTGAATGTTCTAGTTTTTATGGCAACTGATCCTCTTCACAGAAAACAGTACCTGTTACAGAGGCACCATCTTTCTGAATAACAACTGATGCTTGTTCAATACAATATCGATTTCTTTTCGAGTATAAAGATAATTGCTTTTAAATAATACGACCTATCAATTTTTCATGTTGTCACAGTGCAATTACGTATCTTCTTTTATGATCCGTAACAAACACGAAAAATTATAATAATTCCAAATTTTGTAAATACATTAAATTGTCTCTTGATTGATTTTCATCGATTTAGCTGACATTTTGCAAATAAGTATCACAAAAATGCCCGACCTTAAAAACTGCAATAAGAATTCTTTAAAAGATTTATATATATTTAATTAATTACAAGTACACTCTATGCCTGGAAAAAGCACAAGCTTTTCATTACACCTCTCACTTACAACTTTATAATTCTTGTCAACAAAATATGATATTAAGCTTTTAGAAACAACAAACAGTAATAAAAAAGTTGGAAAGCAAGCTTATTCAAGAAAGAGAGAAACTATGTACAAAAGGTGGACTAGATAACATAAACCTAAACACACTTATTACATAAATGGAAACCATGCAACAAAGGTCTTTTTCTAAAACTTCAAAAGCTTAAGAAAACGAGAAATCAAGTACACCTGGTTTGAAGGCTTTTTTTAATATTTTATGATGTTTGGTGAATATGACTATTGAAGATAGAGCCTTTAGTAAAAAGGATTGATTATAATGTTAAAACTTTAATAATGCATGTATTAGGATAGAAATAAATTATGAAAGACCTAAAAGTTTATTTTAATAAATTTGTCATTCCGGCGTTACTCTTTTACGAGATGTTAGATTTCGATTTGCGATGGCAGCTATTGCAGGGAATCGATATTGTACAGAGCTCATGACAATTTCATTAACTGCCGTTCATTTTGTTCAATAGATGCAAGAGCGGAAAGAATATCGGAACTTATTGCACCGTGGCGCACATATTGATCAGGTAGTGATACTTCCTAGAGCAACAGCCTCACATTATTTATAATTGTTAAATGCAAACATTCATCGGTTTTGTCACTCCCAATCTCATTCTATTCTAATAAAAAAATTATTTGCAAACTTTGAATATAAAACCTAGATTTATATTCTTTGTATCCGTTTTCGCTATTTTGTTGTTTTTTTTTTTTAATCATTTTCTTATATTTCTGTTTAGTAGTACTTTTTAAACATGTTTTTAATTCATTGAATATAACATAAGAAATGAAAATAAGAAGCACTGATAACTCTCAAAAGTCCACTTAATGAATGAGAACAGGGCCAGAAAACGATCTATAGGCGGGATAAGTTGTCTTAGAGGAGTAAGCTTCCCCTGAGGGCTTGGTCAAATCACTGTTAGCCCTCTATGACGCGAGTCATCTCTAGGCAAAGAAAAAAAGTTACCTATGAATTGACCCAAATACAAAGGCTTTTAGGAAATGCGCTAAATCAACTTTACGCCAACTTGTTCAAAAATTATTTTCCGCCAAATAAAGTACAGTGTACATGCTAAGCATAATACATGTACAGTATACGCCGAGCATGAAAAGTACAGATTAACTTTAAATTACGTCTTGTTTATTCGATTTTTCTAAACTGATGTCTCCAGCTAATTCGATACACAAGAGCATGACCCAAGTATAATATGATTTAAACATAGACTGTTACTGACAACCAAGTTGATGTTACAGAGTTTTCAACCATGTCGTTAATTATAAAAGTAAGCATTTGATTTTCGAATGTAATAATCTAGTAGCTTGCAAAATAAAATCCTTTACGTTGTAGATATATTTGTTTACTTTCAGTCAGCAAAATACAAAAGAAAGGCATTGTTTCTATATATAAATTGACACACATGTTCTTTAAAGTATAGCTGGTTTCAATTAAAACCCGGATTCAAAGCTCTTACAAAAGATGACAATTTTAAAACAAAATTTTACTCCCATGCTCAAATCAAAAGAGTTGTCAAAATGTACAGTGTCATTTTCAGATAAATCTGCAAAGGTTACTTATTAGAATAGATTAAGTGTTTAATTTACAGATGTTATTTTGTTCTTCGTGAAAGAAACGCCAAATTTTAATCTTTTATATTAGTATTTTTCTTTAAAATTACAAAGTTGAATTATTTTATTTTACGTTTTTTTAAAAAAAAATTATAACAAATACTTTGTTGAATTTTTAATTCTCTTTTTGATCATTTGTGTAATCTATTTAACGTAAAGCTTTTTGGATAGAAAAAGATCTCAAATTTATTTGACAAAATTCATATCCGTAGAGAACTAAAATAATCAATATTGATAAGGTTGAGGGAATTAATTGTCTGATATAATAGGACCAGATTGATTTTTTCTTCATTGGTAACATATGTAATTGTTCTCACTTGTAGCGCAGATAGTGTTTACTTAGGTCTTTTATGAATATTATATGGACTCAAATATAAATAAATTAAAACACTTTCCACAACATGGAAATATGATACAGTATAATTGAACTAAACTGATATCTTTTTTTAAAATTTTGAGCTATTTAGAAAATTAACTTGTTTTATGAATGTTTATGTATTTACTAGAAGTTTAATTAAAAAGGAATAATAATGTCAAACGGACATAATGTAAAGGATGGGTATGTTGATTGACTTGCTCTCATAAAACTAACGGTACAAAAAAAGGAGGTTGTTTACTCAGATAAAGTTAAAATGGGTTTCATAGGATTGAATAACGTATAAATATTGCATGCATCTTTCCTGCATAAAAAGAGAAAAATGTATTTTTCAGAAAAATGACGACGAATGATTAGTTTGAAAAATTTTGCAAATCTCATTTGGTGAAAGTTCAGGGTCTTCGCCATAAGATGTGTACTGTACTTTAAATTGCGAAGACCCTGTACATGTGCCAGATTTTGATTGCATTTACTCCTCACTAAAATATTTACAGCAGTGAAAGGAGTATTGTGCAGCTGTACTGTTCCAGTAACTTGAGCGAGCAGAGTCTAAATACGGTTACAAAATTATCAAACCATACTTGTAAATCTTGCACATCCATGTTTTGGACATGTTTAAAATGATATAACATACACATGATAAATTGAAGAAAAAGTATCTAGATCATTGAAAAAAATAATTTATTAGAAGTGTTTAAGGTTAAGTTATGTATTAAGCACATGTTCGACAACAGAGTACGTTTCTGGAATGGTCATTGTACGTAGAACATTTCGATCTCTCACAAGAACTCGAATGATCCCCGTATTCACAACCTATAATCAGAAGTAATTAAAATATACGTTTTTTAAATCATATTTAATGCAAAGATGCAAACAAAAATTTTGGAAATAATTTATCTGTGACAGTCAATCAATACAGTGGTAGTTTAGTGGTCAGTTCGAATCTCACTGTGGGACGTTAATTTTCACAAAATTATGTGAAAACCATGTAAAAATTACATAAATATTTTTGCATATGTTACTTGATTTGTATGATATTTGCGTATTTTTTTTCTCATAATTTTCAGGTAATATTTTGTTATGTATATCTACATATTAAAATTATTTCTAATATTAAGTGTGTGAATTTCTATGAAAATTATTATGAAGGTTTCCGTTTCCAACGGAAGACCTTCTACTGTTTGTTGGTAAAGATTATGCAAAGATTTCACAAGTTTTATTAGAATTCTGTTGGTAAAGATTATTATTCTTTTTTTTCTTGTGTTCCTATTTGGGTCATATCTCACTCATTTCTCAACGGATTTCGCTCAAATTTTCAGAAGTTATAGACGTTTATAAATTCTATCACAATGCTGACAAAAAATTTTAAAAAGTCACTTCCGGTTTTGAGTTATTTCCCTTTAAACGAAAATTTATAGGCTTTCGTTCCAGACAAAGGCTCAGAGACGGCTAATTTAAAAGCTGGAGCAGAAATTCTACTGATTTTAGATAATAGAAGGATTGAAGTTGTGCACATCGGTTTTTGTCTTTCTTTCTCTATTCAAAATGGCGCTATATAGGGGTAAAAAATTAGAACGCTTAAAAGAACCAAAAATTACTGGATTTTGCTTCACTTCTACAAAAATATTTTGTTAAAATATATAGAACATAATTTGTGCAGAATTAAAAGATCTTTCAAATGATATCTTTGAAAAGGGCTGAATTAAGGGATTATGGGGCCAAAAGTTTTTTCCAGACACATATTGAGAATTTGTTATACATCAAAGAAGCAAAGTTGTTGAAAATCTCAAGCTTAATCCAATGGAGTTCAAAAAACGTCCAGCCTTTCCTGCCAAACCGGAAGTAGTCGGAAAACGCGTATTTTTGTCACACAAAATATGTCTCTGGGAGCTTAAAAATTAATTTTCTGTGCGTCGTCGTCACTTCCGGTCAAACCGGAAATAGCAAAAAATGGCTTATTTTTGCATTAATTAACATAGTTTTAGAGGATTCAAAGCATTTTTGGGCGGTATTTCTTATTTTCTCACACATCCTTCTGATCAAACAGGACAAGAATGTATTTGCAACGATTCAGACTGTTATTCTTTTTTTTCTTTGCTTCCTAGACCGCAACTTTGAAGATTATGTACTCATTTCACGGACAAATTTTCAGACGTTATAGACGTTAATAAACTCTATCAGAATAATGTCTAACATTTCAAAAAGCCACTTCCGGTTTTGAGTTATTTCCCTTTAAAGGAAAATTTATAGGCTTTGTCACACAAAGGCTGATGAAAGCTGGAGCAGAAATTCTACTGATTTTAGATAATAGAAGGATTGAAGTTGTGCACATCGGTTTTTGTTTTTCGATTTCTGTATTCAAAATGGCGCTATATAGGGGTCAAAAATTAGAACGCTTAAAAGAACCAAAAATTACTCATATTTTTCTTTTTATCTTCTAAACTAAAAATATTATGTTAAAATATATAGAACATAATTTGTGCAGAATTGTCTTTCACATGATATGTCGAAAAAAGGGCTGACCCTTTTGATGTGTGTTTTTTCCAGATATCAAAGTACATTATGCATCAAAGAAGCAAAGTTGTTCAAAATATCAAGCTTTATCTAATAGGGTCGTCAATATACGTCCGGCGAC